ATACACACACACACACACACACACACACAAGTAACTCCAAATCCTGGATATATTTCGGATCAAAGCTCACCAAACCTCCCACAAGCATACCTCACCAAACGTCACTCACCCCTAGCATTAACCAAAGCAACGAAGATAAAACAACAAGGTTAGGAGAGAAAGGATCACATCACTAATCACGCTTTTGTTAAGATGTAGGGTATACTTTTTAAAATAATAATACTGACGTTTGAACCACCGACACTACAAGTGCAACTTTTTTTACCTTTTAAAGTGAAGGTGATGCTCTCTTATTTTCTAAAGTAGAAGTTAAGCTCGATTTTATTAATTATTGTTAAATGAATTTAAATTTTAAAATTTGTATCTTAAATCAATTAAATTAAACTAATTTAACTGTAATAAATAGCGAACATCACCCCATTTTCGGAGTTGAACAAAGTCGCACTCCTGTTCTAATTAGCAGCCAAGCTGGGATCCACAACTCTTTAAAAATATGGTTTGTAAACGTGACAGTGACAGATAAACATTGTTTCTCCAGTACAAAATTGCCACCTCCCGCAAAAGATATGATCGAATCAATATCCAATTATTGATGTGAAGTTCCAATATTTGTTTATTTTTTATTTTTTTAAAAAGTAAAAACTCGTGCTAAATTATGGTTATTCATTCTTTTTGGTAATCAGGAAGATTCACAGAAGCATTTTAACCTTTTTATGTTTACAAGTCTGACTTCCACACTAGCAGCGAATTTCAAACTCAAAATCTTCAATTTTTAGTTTTAAAAAAATCTCATTATTCGCTATTTACAACTAAATCACTAACTCGTGATTAAGTTCTAATATATTTAATACGATAATGTGATAAAAAAAAATAAGAGGTAATATTTTTTTCTTGGTCGAAAGAAAATATAACATTATAATATTTAATTGTTAAACGTGTTTTTCCATGAGTGGTGATGGAGTAGGTGCGCTGCATATTCTAGGTTTTGGAGATAAAAGAACAGTGCACTCATGCATGTTCACCACCTTTTTTCTTACTTTTGTGACAGAAGTCTTTTTCTTTTTTTAACTTTTGAAATTAAATAATGAATTAAATTTACACGTGTTCATTTCTATTAGTGATAAATCATTTAGTTTGTAAATTTTATCTATAAATTTAATCTCTTTAGCATTAGCCTTTGAAATTCTTGGAAGACTAAATTTGTAAACATTTTTTTATAAATTAATGATTAATTATTATTTAAATATTAATAAATATGTTCATTTATTATTGATAACATATCATTTAATCTACAAATTTAATCAACAAATTTAATATTTCTAGCATTAGCCCAACATTAATTTTGCATACACACATTTTTAGTGTGCGGTCGCGCCTGTTTCCGCTATAAAAACATCGCAATCCCCTTTCCTTCTTAATTGCAGAGTGGAAAGGAAAACCAATTCAGCCATGGCTTCATCTCCCTTACCACCAACTTCTACAATGGCCGCCCTGCACTCCACCACAACTACCCTCTTCCGCTCTCCTTTATTCCCAAACAAGTCCCAGACTCCACTGCAACGAAAACCCAAACAATGCCTTGCGGGCAGAGTGCGCTGCAAAGCAACAAAAGGTGACAATGATAACCAAGACCAGGGCCTAGCAAGACTCGACAGGAGGAACATGCTGATAGGTTTAGGCGCCGGGGGTCTCTACGGTGCGGCAGGAAACCCATTTGCTTTTGCCGCACCAGTATCCGCTCCAGACCTGACCACGTGTGGCCCTGCCGACAAGCCAGACGGGTCCACCATCGATTGTTGCCCACCTAGCACCACGACCATCATCGACTTCGAACTCCCCGACTCAGGCCCACTCCGCACTAGGCCCGCTGCCCAGGACGTTGCAAACGACGCTGCATACTTGGCCAAATACAAAAAGGCTGTCGAGCTGATGCGGGCACTTCCAGACGACGACCCGCGCAGTCACGCCCAACAGGCCATGGTACACTGCTCCTACTGCGACGGTGCATACCCACAAGTCGGATATTCGGATTTGGAAATCCAAGTTCACTACTGTTGGCTCTTCTTCCCGTTCCATCGTTGGTACCTCTACTTCTACGAGAAAATCTTGGGCGAGCTCATTGGGGACCCAACCTTCGCCCTCCCCTTCTGGAACTGGGACGCGCCAGCTGGCATGTACATTCCTGAGATTTTCACCGATACGTCGTCATCCCTCTACGACCAGTACAGAAATGCAGCGCATCAGCCCCCGAAGCTCCTGGACTTGAATTACAGCGGGACCGACGATGACGTCGACGACGAGACACGAATCAAAGAGAACTTAACAACGATGTATCAGCAGATGGTGTCGAAGGCCACTTCTCACAGACTCTTCTACGGAGAGCCCTACAGCGCAGGGGACGACCCAAGCCCTGGCGCCGGAAACATTGAGAGCATTCCCCATAACAATATTCACTTTTGGACTGGCGACCCAACCCAGACAAACGGGGAGGACATGGGGGCCTTTTACTCTTCGGGGAGGGATCCGCTGTTTTACTCCCACCATTCCAACGTGGACCGCATGTGGTCTATATATAAGGATAAGTTGGGCGGTACGGACATAGAAAAGACCGACTGGCTGGACACGGAGTTCTTGTTCTACGACGAGAAAAAGAATCTCGTGCGCGTCAAGGTTCGGGACTCGCTCGACACTACAAAACTCGGGTACGTGTACGACGAGAATGTCTCGATCCCGTGGTTGGAGTATAAGCCGACGGCTCGTAAGTCGACGAATAAGAGAAAGGCCGCGGTTTCATCTTCTGATCTTACTGCAACGTTCCCTGCTACACTGTCGGATACAATCAGCGTCGAGGTGACGAGGCCGTCTGCAACGAAGCGGACAGCTGCCCAAAAGAAGGCGCAGGACGAGGTGCTGGTGATTACGGGGATTGAGTTTGCCGGGAATGAGACTGTGAAGTTCGACGTGTATGTGAACGATGACGCGGACTCGCTGGCCGGGAAAGACAAGTCGGAGTTTGCTGGGAGTTTTGTTCACGTGCCGCATAAGCATAAGAAAAATATTAAGACGAACCTGCGGCTGAGCATTACGAGCTTGTTGGAGGAGTTGGATGCGGAGACAGACAGCACTGTGGTGGTGACTTTGGTGCCGAAAGTTGGGAAGGGGCCCATCACCATCGGAGGGTTTAGCATTGAGCTCATTAATACTACCTGAGTGTTAATTAATGTTATTGTTGGTTCTTCTTGTTGTTGTTGGGTTGGCTTAATCATGTTTTTCTAGCTAATTAATCCTGAACGTACGTAATGTGATCATCTACTGCTTACGTGGCAGATGATGGTTGGTGTTCCTCGTGAATAAAAGCACTATTGTGTTTCGGTGTGTTTATTTATTGAATAAAGAATTGATGGTGGAGTTTAATCATAATTTTCCAGAATTAATGATGGTACACTACTTTACTATTATTGTTATTTGTGATAATGGAGGACTGACAATGGAGTCATAATCTTGCGCAAAGAGGAAGATAACAATCATGTAAGCCAAAAAAGTGTAGGGGTAAAACAACAATAAAGCTAAATATGTGGTGGCGACTAGCATAAAAAGCTTTATTATTATTATTTTTGTTTTAAAAGAAAGGTAAATTTTAAGGAAAACTAATGAAAAGACCTGAAAACTTTGAGTCTTAATGATAAAGACAAAATAAATGGTAGAGTGAATAGTATCAGGATTGATTTTTTTGTATAAAAATATGATTTTTCGTTGATATGAAGAATACTGTGAATTTTTTGTTAAAACTCTTTAAATTTTATAACAAAAAACACAAACTTTCGTAGAAAAGACCCACATACAAATAGACACAAAGCAAAAATGGACCTCCCAAGCTAACCAAAAAGAGCCCAACCAAGAGCCCAAAACCAGAAACCAAACCGAAAGAAAATTCGAGAAGTCTGCTACCACTGCTGCAACAGTGCATCACGATCAACCCGATTCGGCTCCACCAATAAACACCTAAATCCCAACCATGCAGCAACACACTCACTTTCGGTGTGACGTAATCGAATCCAAGGTGGAATACCAAGGTGATACAACCCTTACTCGGCTGCTTACTCAATGTAATATTTCATTACAATATCAACTTTTACAACAACCTTTCCTCTTACAGACTTAATCTTTATGTAGTCACTGCCTAGCTTATCCTGCAAATTAACTACTAACAACCTTCTCTAACAGACTTAAGACTCGTTTGAAAGTACTTTTAAAATGACTGAAAGCGTTTTTGGTAAAATTGATTTTGGGTTCCAAAAGCACTTTAAGTGCTTTATGAAGAAGCATCAGATATGTACTTCTTGCAGGAAGCACATAAAGTGTTTTTCCATTATCTACTTAGATTATTGGTTTCATAAACATTTTCACTAAAAGCACTTTCTATCATTGAAAAAACATTTCCAAACGAGCTCTTATTCACTTAGCAACCATCTGTTGTCCTAGTTAGCCCATCCACATCACTGATTCTATATGCTGAGTCAGCAATTACATAGAATCCTATCATAGGGCCAAGATCTGCTGTCTCCTTTTTTGTGTCTCTCATTGTAGTAACTGTTTGAGAGTCAATAAAAAAATGATATATATTGTAGCACTTAAATGGTAACTGGTTAGTAAGTTAGAATGACATTATATTACCGGGGAGGGAAGCTTCTCTATTAGTTTCTTTTTTCTTAGGCCTCTCTAACTAAAGTGACTAAGTATAGCTCAATTCAAAATTATAACCCTGTAAGAAAATATTTTTATGAATTGTGTTAGATCATATTCATTATTTATATATCATTTCCAATTGAAATGGCTAAATCGGCTAAACATAGCTCATTCAATAATTTATTAATTTTATATTTTCTTTAAATTTATTAAAAAATATCTTTTTCGGATATAATCGCGAGACACAGGTCGAGCTCATGGAACTAATGTAACAACTAAAACATATATGTATATATAAGAAAATACAATTTACAAGGACACAACAAAGACAAGATCTGTATTCATTTCTGCCTGGATGTGGTACTAATTAATTCCAAAATCAAAACCATACTCATACATAAAAAGCCTTAATTTTTACAAGATTTTCTTTGGACCGGATTATTTACAAGGGTCACAACAAAAGAAAAAAAATCTTTTTTTTGGGTATTGCAAAAACAGTGCTATTTACAAGGAAATTAGGGTTTCAGTTGTGTTGGGGACCATCAGACTCGATTTCATTAGCCAGTTCTTTTGTGAGCATGTCAGCCCGATCGTCATGTCCACCAGCGAATGTGTAAACCCTAAAAGCAAACTGAAAAGCCTTCCACAGCATTTTCACACAAATCTTTGTTTGCTTCTGATCAGTTTTTGTTCCAGTCTTACCAGCGGCCTTTGCTTCTCTCCTTTCCTGCACCATTTAACATTTCAAAGTCAAACTCTCTTTATCAAATCGTTGTTATTTGTTTTTTAGAATAGTTAATTCTGATTACTAACCTTTAGTGCCATCTCCATGCAGCTTGAGGAGACATCCACCATGGCTTCTTTGATCCGGATGAGGATATTGAAGTCGAAGTGGATATTCTGGCTCTGAAACTTCTTGGCTTCATCGTCTTTAGTTCGTTCCATCGTGTCTATTTCTCCTTTTATCTGTGTATAAACTTTTTTTTGTTAGTTATGGAAAATGGAAAGAGACAATTAAGCAAGTTTTTATATATAAGAAACAATAGTGAAGACGTAGTAAGTTTTTTATATAAGAAACGATAATGAAGACAATTAAGCAAGTAAGATTGTATTAAATGAACATTTGTGCACCTTATCGAAGTAGCGTTCGGCCTTGTCAAGGAGCTGACCCAATGGAACCACTAGTTTCCAGTTTTGCAGTTCATTGAGCATTGTATTTAAATTTGTGTGTAGCGCTGCTGCCATCCTTATTGCTTCCAACTTCTTTGTTGGGAACCCTTCAAACCTTGAAAGCACCTGCAATTCAGAAAATGGCATGTCGCAAAACACGATTATGAAGTGATCATAGAATTAGAATGGAAATGAGCAAAAATAAAGCGGACAATTAATGGTATTGACCTGTGACTCATCAGTCAAGTGTTCAAGGACGGATTCGACTTTCTTGTGAAACTGCATCAACTCATTCATGTCTTTTGTTTTGAAAGAACCAAGGGTGGTTCTCATTTCCGTGATAGGCTTTGCATACTTCTGAATATCTTCTTCAATTTGTTGAAAGTATGCTGATCTGAGACACTAAAATTAGAAACATTATATGCATGGTTTTCGCATTATTTTGAGTACTTAGATTACTTATCCATACAGTAAATACCTCTTTGTAATCTCTGCTAGAGCATCAGCCATTCCTTGTTTTCCACCAGAGCTGCTACCAATTCCACCCTTTCTCCTGTTGGATGCCTTGCCATCCAAGCTAGATCCTTCCACCTTTCTCTTGAGAAGGCGGTAGAGACTGCCCATCTGAGGTGATCTCTTCAGTTTAATGTCTTTCTTGGGGCACAAGGATCTTCCTGTGCCGAGTGCAGGGGGTGGGGGTGGAGCAGCTCCATTTGATGGGCCTTTTAACATGGGTGATGGCGGTGGAGGACCTCCATTTGATGATCCTGGTGGAGGTGGTGGGGGTGGAGGACTGCCAATTGACGGTCCTGGTGGAGGTGGTGGTGCTGGATCTCCATTTGATGATCCTGACGGAGGTGGGGGTAGGGGTGGAACCACTTTTGTTGACCTTGGTAGCACTGGTGTTGGTGGAGGGGTTAGATTTGCTGATACTGGTCCTGGTTCCATTGGTTGAGGCCGTGGGGGTGGTGGCCCCCCAACTGCTGCTACATTATGTGGGGTTAATGTTGGTGGTGGTGGGAGTTGCTGCAACTTGTGGCTGCATGGCGGGTACTGATGGTGGTGGTGGAGGTGGTGTTGCAACATTTAGCTTCAAAGTGTGTAGTGGTGGTGGTGGAGGGGATGTTGGTATTCTTGTTGCTGCTTTTGTATTGGGCAGTGAAAATTGTTGCGTTGGTGGAGGTGAAGGTAAAGGTGGAGGTGGAGGTCGAGGCGCTGATTTTGGTTGTGGAAGTGTGGGTGAGGGTGAAAGCAATGATACTCCTGTGGTGTCTGCTTCCAATGTTTCGGAGGCTGTGGTTGGAGTTTCAACATCATCACTTGTGTTGTCGATACCCTTTCCACTAGACTTCTCATTCAAACTAAGATTTGGGGCTACTACTTCCTCATCTGTTGCTGCAACTGTCTGTTGAGGGTTTCTCTCTAATTCTATCCCAATTGATGGTTCTTCAAACAAATTTTCAATCTTGTCCAGACCATTGTTGGTGCCATGAGCTCCTTGTTTTGATAAGTGAAGAGACAAGTTCTTAACATCAATCGGATTTAGCTTCCCAACTGCTTGCACTCTCAGAGTCCAAAGCAATGGTGATTTGGAACCAATGTTGGCCTTCTTTTGTGCTCTCGGAGAACCATCAATCTCAGGTAGGACAGAAGATGGAGTGATCGGAGAAGGACAGGTGGAACCTGAGGCGTAGCTCTCCAAATCGCTCAAGAACTTCCCAAATGAGCTATTCCGTGGGCTGTAATCTTCTCTTTTCTGGTCATCCTCATCTATCATATCAAACTTGTTCCGTGCCATCTTCATCAAGCAATCGAGCGTTTCCAGCACCGTCTCAACTACAAAATCGTAAAGAGAATCAGCCATAACTTAAAGTTTCACAAAGGGAAATAACAGTTAGGTTGTTGCTTCCATTTCCAAATGGAAGGCCTCAACTAGTCCTAGAGAAAAATTTGTAGCATACCGAGTTCATCCTGATTGACATTCTCCTTGAGTGATGGGAAATCATATCTCGGTTTGTCCAACCTGTCATAACTTGTCATCCAAGACTCTCCAATAGATTTCAATGCCTTGCAGAATGAGGCCAGGACCTGAATGCACATGTTTAATTTGAAAAATTAGCTTAATGGTCTCGAGTATAATTACATATGCGTACTAAGCCATTTCTTATGGATCTTAAATCCTTAATTACCTTTTTTGTTCCAAAAAAAAAAAAAAACAATCTTAATTACCTTTTCTATAGATGCTTCCTCTATTTCCGACAATTGTTTATGTAGCACAATTTCAGGGAAAAGCTTCTGTAGATCTCCCATCAACCTCATTAACATCTGCAAGCAGAAAAAATTTGGAAAAATTGGAAAATTATGTTTTAATCCCGAAATTTAAGCACAAGATTTCAACGGAAAAAAAAGAATTGTTATTAGCAATCCAAAAAATTCATTTTGCGCTCTATCTTTTAAGCTACATTCTTCATTAGGGAAGAGTACTATAACATTTTACAAAAAAATTTAAAAAAAAGGACACATACCTCAGTTATTGCTGCAGAAGCATCACATGCTGGTAGGTCGATGATGTCTCTGAAAATGGTGATCTTCTTCCGGAGCTCAGTCATCCGAACCTGGTTGGCTGAATCTCCACAAGACCTATCTTTTGGCATGCCTCTACTAGAAGCGTTCTTCTGTTTCACAGGCAGACTCTTGGCCCCCTTGGAGTCTTTCATTGCCTGAAAGAACAACTCTATTCATGTTAACCATTTTCTAGTCTAGACCTTATTGTGAATTGATTCCTTTTCAGTGATTATTTATTTTATGAACCTTAATCAAAGATTTATGGCTGCATGCAACAAACTTAATCTAGACAAGAAACAATGCTGCCATGTTTCCTTTCATATAGATTATTAGCATGCCTAGATGTAGATATATGGTCAGTTTTTATTAGAAGCTAGATTTAAAGATGATGGGTCAAGTAAATCAGACATGTTTAACATGGAAACACAAAATTGTACCTTAATTTCAGAAGGCTTGCGACGAAACAGCTTCCGATAGTCATGGATTGAACCTACGCTGAGACTGGGCAAAAGGTGATGGTGATGGTGATGATTATAGTATTGTTAAATGATCATACAATTGGGTGTCAACCATTACTGACCAGCACACCCTTAAAGCTTAATGTGGTTCTGAAAAAAAACAACTCCAGAATGTAAAATTGTAATGTGTTCAACAACAAGAAGAGAACTGTTCAAAAAATTCAACTTCTTTGAGAAAGAAAATGAGATGAAAACACAATTACGTGGGAGGCACTTAATTTTTGTGTTAATTAGTCTGTACAAGAAACTGGAAAATCCATTTCTTTTCTTTCAGCCTTTGAACTTTCTCTGAAAAGAGAAGCCAAGGAAAGACAGAAAGGCAAAGTCCCTTTTATTAAGGAAGATCATCTAGTAGGCTGAAGCTGTATCAGACCTAAAGTTTCCTCTTTTTTTTTTTTTTTTCCATTTTTCTATTTTATTTTTAATAAGGCGTTTTACTTAATTAATTAATAATTACCTGTTTAGTTATCTAAATCATGCATGATTTGATTGCAGGAACTGGTCCTAGATTTTTTATTGCTTGCAGCTATTTATAGAATTATACAGCTTCTCACTTGTGTAAGATGAGGTGATGTTTTAAATTTCCAAATTTTATCTTCTATGTCGATTATCCATATTATAATAGTAACCCCACATGATCAATGTTAATGAGTCATACCTAAAGCTTTTTCTAATTTTACAAGTTGTAAAAATATATATTTTTCGTTTAACTTTTTTAAGAACGGTTTTTAATTAAAATATTATTGAAATATTCAACACATCCTACTAGGTCAAAATAAGAATAGATAAAAGTCAAATAAATAGTAGCTAGGAATGTAAAACCAAGTCTTGCTTACATAGACAAAGGTTACTCCATGACAGCGAATACTACAAAAAAAAAACCCAAAAAACATGGTGTTATTAGTCAACGTTCGTACCTGATACCCCATTTGACGATTAGAAAGTTGGAACCTGGAAAATTTCTATCCCCCTCTTTTCACCAAATTTGGGCAACGAAGCCTTCATATATTAGGTCGTTTGCCTTGGTCAAACAGAGAGTCCCTGGTAGCCTCTGCAAAGGAAGATGAGATTGTAATTTCACCATAAAGAGGGCCAAGTTTGTTCGTGTAGTTTGTATGAAGTGTAGCTATAAACACTTCAACCTATTTGGTTAAAAATCCAAGTGCAACCTTGGGCGGCTTGGACAAGGGAAATTCTAAAGTCTAATCAGGTGCATATTTTCTTTGAGTCACATAATAAGGAAAACGCTCACGTAGAAATACTTCAATTTAGATGGCAACACCATTCAATAAGTGGAGAAGAATATATAGACATTGTGCATCAGTATATCGTATGCCAATTGACACATTTTTAATAGTTCAAAACAACTCATATATTCCAAATTGCCAAACTCAGCATCCAATAAATAGAGAAGCAAAAGGTAGAGGGGCGTCATGCCTAAGGTGTACCTGTATGAAAATATATAGCTGGGGCTATTATACAAACAGATTATAACTATTGAACAAATATATATTGCAGTTTGAAGAACTCATGGGCTCAACTGCTTTGTATCCATTTACAGATTCAGAGTTCTTTTGGTAGGTTGTAGTTTACTCTTGTCACTCTTAATGGAGGAGCCCTTTGCTGTTTTGCCTTCTAATGAAGCTCTTTTGGGTGCTACCGGAGAAAAGCCAGCCGCTGCAGTTTTCTCAGCAATTCGCTTTTGGCGTTCTATCTGCATTTCCTCCATCTTTTGCCGAATTTCTTCTTCCTGTTTACAAGCACATTCCCATCAGATTTCATAAAAAACAAATCAAAATATGAAGAAAATAGATAATGAGAGGTAGCCAAATAAACACTACATAAATACTCATTATTTACCTTCTCAAATTTGCTCTTTTGTATTATAGGCCCTCTTGCAGGAAATACTTTTTTGCTTTTGATATCAGGTCTGTTGTTAACTAGGGATCTCCTTACGATGCTAGACTTTGCTTCTTTACCGCGTTCTTTTGCTCCAGGAACTTTATTGCTCTTCACACTGGTGTCCACACTGTTCGAAGCAGGCTTCTTATCCACGCCATCAGTTGTCTCAACACCGGAAGATCTTCTATTTGCCTCGGTAAATGAAATGTCTGCTCCATAGTCTATAGTCCAAGAAATTTCAGCAGACACCAAGTTGGAATCCCTTTCAAGAATCATGCAAGGGTCATCTGGCTCAGATGTTCGAGTCTGTGTAATATCTATAACTCCATTTCCTTCTGGGCAGCTAAACTCAGATCGTTAACCATGCTTATTTCTGTTTTCCATGGAGATTCATACATATCATCAACTGCTGATCGAGACTGTATAAAGAAAGAATCATCTACGCACATATTGCTTTTTCTCTCCAATGCAAAGATGCAATCACCATTAAAAACTGTTTGCTTCATTGGTGCTTTCTGGTCTTCTGTACTTTCTGAATGATTGACGACAAACCAATCTTCTCCCCTTGAACCCCTGGTTACCGTAGACTCAGCAGCAGAAGCAGAAAACGCAGACCTATTTTCAGTTTCTGATGTTGCCGATCTCTGTAAAAGTAATATGTCCTCAGCTGCACAATCTTTTCTCTCCATAACTGAACTGAAATTTTCTTCAGTCCGAAAATCTTCCAACTCAACTCCATGGTCATGTGTTCCATTCCTCTCCATCATAACCAAAGGATCAGCTGCAGCTGAAACTGTTAGTTTATTTGGAGTTCTCTCGAAATTGAGCCCCAAAGCAGGCCTCTCTGCTAATGAATTACCACCTTCAGACCTCGCTATAAAATGTCCATCTTGAACATCAATGGCGACTACAGCCCGAACAGTCAAATCCTCACTACTTGATCCATTAAACATAGAGCGACTCTTCTCTACGTCTCCTTCTTGTGAGTGTGACTCATGGGATATGTCCAATACTTCTGCTTTCTCAGTCTTCTCATCTGAAAAAGATTCATCAGAAACTCCGTCTTTATTCCCATCCCTCCTCTTGGGTGTGATGTAGTTGATGTTTTGAATGACCACTTTCCGCGAGGATTTCTTCTTGAACTTCTTTTTGGATGAATTCTCCATATCAGAATGCTTTCTCTCTTGAAGTGTCTCTGAATCAGAATCAGTCACAGAAGTGGAGTCACTGGACTCAGTTTGGTTGCCTTCCCCTGAGTATTTAGTTCGTGTTTTATTCTTCTTCTTTCTTCTTGAAGATGACTTCTGAGTCCTATGATAATTCAGTTCCCGACCATAGCTTGCTTCATCCATGCTGGGAGGCCATTGCATGTTCCTTGGATAATGAGGAGGAAAAGACTGCATAGTAGGGAAAGGATATCCATGATATGGAGGCAATTGGTTTGAATGGCCTAGTGAACCATAAAAGTACTGAGGATTCTGATTCGGCAATGGCATTGGCGCTTGAATTTTTTCACTGGTAGGGACACCGCCATTGGGAAGATTTAACATAACATTTTGATTAGTGACCTCTGACTCATTTGTAAGTGTAATTTCAGAAGCTCCTGTGAATTGCAGATCTGATGAAGAACAGGCCACAGCTGCTGCTACTTCTTGTATCCATAAACCATCTTTGTGCTTTTGCTTGTATAATTCCTTGAAGTTAATGCATGCTTCCCTACAAATAACCAGTACTTGATCTTAAGAGACTCCAGCAAGCTCGTCATTACAGAAAAATAAAATGAACTATATCTATTTCTCCAAAATGACGTGAAAAGTAATGAAATCAACATTACTGGTTACGAGTTCATACCTTAAGCGTGAAGCTCCAAATGCATCTGAAAAAGAAATGAGATCATCCATATTGTAGATCTCAAAACCAGCAACAAGGCCACGCGCATAAGCCATTGCTTGCTGTTTCCGAAGCAATGCCACTCGAGTTTCCAGAAGGCGTCGAAGGCAAACCCTGTCATATTACAAAAAACTGAAAGAATTAATGATAAAGATACTGACTGACACTGAAAGTGAGACTATTTCATTCACAATTGTAGCCATCCAAAAGAAATAGTTACTTGGAGTTTTCGCTTTCTACATCCCCTGCTTCTTCAAGTTCACCTCTTTTCTGAAAAGAAAAATAAATATTAGCTTAAGTAATGATATATAATTCTTAAAAAATGCCTCACTTATGTTACAACTTGTGAATGTATATGTAAAATACCTTCAAAGAACCAGTTGACTTCCTTGTACTCTGATTAGCAGAGACAACTCCTGATAAACCGAACTTCATTAGGAATCAAATTACAAAACAAGTCCTCATTCGATCTAAATCGAAGAACATTCTTTCCATTACTGCAAGGACATTATAGAGAAACACAACGGTTTTTAATGCAGGAAAACAAGCAAGATGATTAATCCCGAGAGTCGAATTTTCTCTCATATTACTCACTTTGTCTCGGCAACCACACAAAGTAGACTAGAACAGAAACAATACATTCAACACAAAACTACAGAACTTAGCCAATACAGCACCAGAAAGACTGATCTTAAATCGTAAAACTAACAATTGAAAAATGAAAAATTCAAAAGATTTTGATGAGATACCTTCCTCCAGTTGAACTGAACTCTCAATCTGCAAAATCTCCTTTTCAATACTGACAAACCTCTCCAGAACTGCTGGGGTGCTAACAAATCGCACAAATCTGCCCCAAAATACAAAATTAAAGAGAAACAATTCAAAAAATTTATCCAAATTAGCAAATTATCAATTGCATCATTGGCAAATGTCATAGATTTGAGAAGTACCTTTGAAATGTGGATTTGGTGAACCAGGGTGCCATTTGGGTGGGTGGGCGAAGAGTAATGGAATACCCAGCTCTGGAAATCTCATCTTTTACGTATTTGAGGTGCGAAACAAAAGGTTGGAACAACCCAGATGCTAGTTTTTCAGATTTGCCTCCACAGAAGATCACCAAGTCACATCTTCACTCATTTAATTTAGAAACAAAATTAGAAAGAAATTCGAGATTAATCACTAAGCAGAGTCGAACTACAAGTCAGGCATAGTGGACAGGGAGAATGATTTCCGCACGACCTTGTTGGATTGAATAAATCAAAG